GTGTCCAACCAGTGGATATAACAAGGTGGAGCTCAGAATAGCTCTCGAGTGCTATGAAGCATCGTCCCTTGTGTAATCACACCGGAATCACATCAGCAAATCAAGACGGTCTTTCTGCGGTGGATCGTGTTATGGCGCTGGTTCCGCTCACAGGAAGGAGCTATAATATTATCATGAGTCTTAGCTTGTGGAGAGTAACATGGATGATATGCCAATGTGCGATGTGGGATGGAGTGGGATCTCTGTCATCTATGATCTTCGTAGGTTGACGTATTCTGTTTCAGATCTTATATTTTTTCTTTTATATGTCGACAATGAGTTTAACAAAATGGATAGTCTTCCTATCCATAGCATGGTCTGCACTAACTGTTCCAGTGACGACTAGTACCACTCCCTCTCTATCTAGCCAGCGTTCGGTTGGCTTCTGCGTCGCTGACAGGGAGGTGTTCCCCAGCCTTCTTCCATCTGGCCAGATAACTACCGAGTCCTTCAGTTTCACTGACCATGGTGTATGGTATCTAGCTGGCTACTCTAGTGATGATGGTATCCGTATGCTTTGGAGACTCGAATGCAACCAATGGTTACCTGTTGCTGAGAAGGCTCTCTCTAATATCGAGGGTTCGGGCAACGATATGTTCGTGTTCGGCATCAGCGAGGGTGACGTTGTCGTTTTCGATCCGGAGAGTTACAATGCTTATCGTACAATAGCTCTGGCGGATCCTTCTAAGGAATACACGGGAGTCACCTTTGATCAAGACTCGAATATTCTATATGTAACTGAGAAGGCTACTGGTCGGATTGCTCGGTTCATAGGTCAGGGTGGAGTGTGGACTCCAATTGACCCCTTGAATGGTTCGGATGTTCTCATTGAGCCCACTATTTTGCGCTTCACACTCGGTAAACTTTACGTTAGAGTGAATGGTGGCGTTGCCTATGCTACAATGGACGGGTCTGTGAATCCTCAGTGGTCTTTTGTACCACTGGATATTCAAGGTGACCAGAGCTTTACTGCTGCTCCCGACGGTTTCCTCTACTACCGTAAGTCTATCGACTCGGTCTATCGTCTCCCATTGGATAATCTGATCGGTGCGGGTGAACTTTACGCTGGTGGATGCGGCTGTGGTCTGGCGCCAAATCAAGTGTGTAGCTCGGGCAACGGCAATCTTGTGAACTTCAATCCCACTGGAGGCATTGTCATGCAAGACTACTCCGAGGGACCTGACTTCCGCTTTCTTAACTGGTGTGGAGATTTCTGCACTCTACTACGACTAGTGTCCCTCGACCAGTATCATTCCAACCCGTGGTCCTCGAACAAGTACAACTTCAACAA